ATGGCTGCCCCATAAACACCTCCTGTCTTGTGATTCTTAACTGATACGCGGTATCTCTCTCCATCTTCTTCTCCAGCGTACAGTTTAGCATCTTTGAATTCCTCCACTGTTATATTTGCTGCAATACCACTTCTTCCGGAGTTGTCAATTATTAATCTTGTAATCAGCCAATCCCTTACTTCGCAAAAGGTCTGATCGTTGACCAGCACAGGCCATTTGACACTTTATATAGATCTTCGCTAGAAAGGAGTTTTGCAAAGTCCATGTCATGTTTCTCTAATTTCCTTTTCAGCACCTTCTTTCTTTGAGCAGATGACCACGAAGTTAAAAGATCTCTCCTTGCATGAAGTGTGTCTAATCTATCTTGCCCTTTCTCTTCTTGCACAAGGAATTTAAGGAATAGCCTAAGGCTCATTAGGTATGATCTAATGGTTCCAGGTTGATACTCCTCAGATAGTTGACCCAACCACTTCCTCAACATTACCACTCCGTCATGCCCCTCGACAGTAACAAGATCTATTTCATTTGCTGCTTGAGGGAAATCTTCTGAAAGAACTTTCATGATGCGTTTTACCTGTGACTTGTACTGACCAGCCACTTTTGCGCAGCGATAACCCCCGTCTACGTCTATCAACCAGGAATGAAACTCGTTAAGCAGTGGGCTGTCATCACTACTATCATTGTCTTCAAAACTGACATCATCTTCCATCTCTTCAAGACAGTCGTCATTATCATCATCATCGCTATCGTATACTGATGATTCATCATCATTCATAACTTCCTTAGGCACTTTACCTTGTGAAAGATTGCTTTGGGAGTCAGTATTACCAGCGTTCTTTTTTCTTTCAAAAACAACATCAACCACGCTCTTCCATTCTGGTTCCACACGAAGAAAATCGAGATTATCTACGTTTTCCACGAAATCAGTTAAAATGTCATCCCTTTCTTGCAACGAGCAGTTATCTGACAAGCTTCCAGTGCTACACTCTGATTCGGAGTCCAGGGAAGGGTGATAGTTTGGGTCTAAAATTTCCTCTTCTTCACTGTCGCATATAACTATTTCACTAGATTTGGTATTACCAGCCGTCACTGGTGGTTGAGGTGGTTGGATTACTTGGTCAGCATTTTTGCGGTTGTTTAACTCTTCAGATAGCTCGGCATCGCTTTCACACTGGGAGGACATCATAGACACTAACTGTTTAAAGCTTCGCTTCTTGCACTCTTCATTTCTTTTCCACACGTTATCCACAAGTTGATCATACTCCAAATCGCTGTCATGGTCATCATGTGTATCACCTACCTTTGATTCCATTTGATCCATTACTTTTTCATACTCCAAATTACTGTCATGATCATTGCCTGAATCTCCACTTTCTTCATTATGTAGCTTGTGTTCCACTTTATCAACTTGCTGATCATACTCTAATTTGCTGTCATCATCATTGTACGTCTCTCTTACCTTTGATTCACAACTTTCTTCATTATGTAGTTTGCGCTCCTCTGCATTACTATTGGAGGAGGTCGGTGCGAGGTGCCCAGGGTTACTCACGTTTCTGCTGATAGTTGCTTCTCCTTCAGGATTTTCTAATAATTGATCATCCGAGTCATTTTCAATTTCTTCCTCAGCTTCGATTCTATTCACCAAACTATACTCATTTTCCTTGTCACCCTTGTAAAATTTCACCCTTTTTGCGGCCTTTCCACGTACAGGTGATTTTGATTCGATTTTTCTCTTTTTAGGACCATCTTTAGTTGTGGCGCTCTTTGCTTTGGATTTCTTTCTCTTGGCAATGTGATCTCGTAGCTCTTGAAGCCCAATTCTCGGAGCAGATTTAAGCGCATCTAAGTATTGGTTTGAGTTGGGATTAAGCTTGTGGATATTTGACTGTAAATGATGATGAAGTTGAAAGACACCTTTCTTTGAATGCTTGCATGGAGATAACGGACAAAACTTTATCTTCCTATTAGGCGCTTTCTTGTTTCCATTTATATATACATCTACCTGACGAAAAATCTTATTCACTTTATGTACATCCTTCTGATGACGAGATAAATTTATAACTGATTTCCCACATCTCGAACACACTTTAGATTCCCGAGACTTTTTCCTTATTTCAGAACTACCTTCCATGGTTACTATAATACAAACAAATAGAAAACTGATCTCAATGATAGAGTTGACAATGGTTAGCACAGCATAACAGATGAGTAGAATGATCTGACAATGATCAACACAGCATAAAAGATAATTAAAATGATTTGACAGTGATGAACACAGCATAAAAGATGATTTCAATGATTTGAAAGTGATAAACACAGTATAACATGATTACAATGATTTGACAGTGATCAACAGAGTATAACAGATGATTTAACAGTGATCTACACAGCATAACAGATGATTAGAATGATTTGAAAGTGATCAACAAAGCATAACAGTTGATTAGAATGATTTGACAGTGATAAACACAGCATAACACATGATTGCAATGATTTAACAGTGATCAACACAGCAGAACAGATGATTAAAATGATTTAACAGTGATCAACACAGCATAACACATGATTGCAATGATTTAACAGTGATCAACACAGCAGAACATGATTAAAATGATTTAACAGTGATGAACACAGCAGAACAGGTGATTAGAATGATTTGACAGTGATCACTAGAGTATAAGAAATGATTGCAATGATTTAACAGTGATCAACACAGCATAACATATGATTAAAATGATTTAACAGTGATGAACACAGCAGAACAGATGATTAGAATGATTTGACAGTGATCACTAGAGTATAAGAAATGATTGCAATGATTTAACAGTGATCAACACAGCATAACATATGATTAAAATGATTTAACAGTGATCAACACAGCAGAACAGATGATTAGAATGATTTGACAGTGATCACTAGAGTATAAGAAATGATTGCAATGATTTAACAGTGATCAACACAGCATAACATATGATTAAAATGATTTAACAGTGATCAACACAGCAGAACAGATGATTAGAATGATTTGACAGTGATCACTAGAGTATAAGAAATGATTACAATGATTTAACAGTGATCAACACAGCATAACATATGATTAAAATGATTTAACAGTGATCAACACAGCAGAACAGATGATTAGAATGATTTGACAGTGATCACTAGAGTATAAGAAATGATTACAATGATTTAACAGTGATCAACACAGCATAACATATGATTAAAATGATTTAACAGTGATCAACACAGCAGAACAGATGATTAGAATGATTTGACAGTGATCACTAGAGTATAAGAAATGATTGCAATGATTTAACAGTGATCAACACAGCATAACATATGATTAAAATGATTTAACAGTGATGAACACAGCAGAACAGATGATTAGAATGATTTGACAGTGATCACTAGAGTATACGAAATGATTGCAATGATTTAACAGTGATCAACACAGCATAACATATGATTAAAATGATTTAACAGTGATGAACACAGCAGAACAGATGATTAGAATGATTTGACAGTGATCACTAGAGTATAAGAAATGATTGCAATGATTTAACAGTGATCAACACAGCATAACATATGATTAAAATGATTTGACAGTGATCAACACAGCAGAACAGATGATTAGAATGATTTGACAGTGATCAACACAGCATAACAGATGATTAGAATGATTTGACAGTGATCAACACAGCATAACATATGATTAAAATGATTTAACAGTGATGAACACAGCAGAACAGATGATTAGAATGATTTGACAGTGATCACTAGAGTATAAGAAATGATTGCAATGATTTAACAGTGATCAACACAGCATAACATATGATTAAAATGATTTAACAGTGATCAACACAGCAGAACAGATGATTAGAATGATTTGACAGTGATCACTAGAGTATAAGAAATGATTGCAATGATTTAACAGTGATCAACACAGCATAACATATGATTAAAATGATTTAACAGTGATCAACACAGCAGAACAGATGATTAGAATGATTTGACAGTGATCACTAGAGTATAAGAAATGATTACAATGATTTAACAGTGATCAACACAGCATAACATATGATTAAAATGATTTAACAGTGATGAACACAGCAGAACAGATGATTAGAATGATTTGACAGTGATCACTAGAGTATAAGAAATGATTGCAATGATTTAACAGTGATCAACACAGCATAACATATGATTAAAATGATTTAACAGTGATGAACACAGCAGAACAGATGATTAGAATGATTTGACAGTGATCACTAGAGTATAAGAAATGATTGCAATGATTTAACAGTGATCAACACAGCATAACATATGATTAAAATGATTTAACAGTGATGAACACAGCAGAACAGATGATTAGAATGATTTGACAGTGATCACTAGAGTATAAGAAATGATTGCAATGATTTAACAGTGATCAACACAGCATAACATATGATTAAAATGATTTAACAGTGATGAACACAGCAGAACAGATGATTAGAATGATTTGACAGTGATCACTAGAGTATAAGAAATGATTGCAATGATTTAACAGTGATCAACACAGCATAACATATGATTAAAATGATTTAACAGTGATCAACACAGCAGAACAGATGATTAGAATGATTTGACAGTGATCAACACAGCATAACAGATGATTAGAATGATTTGACAGTGCTCAACAAGGCATAACAGATGATTAGAATGATTTGACAGTGCTCAACAAAGCATAACAGATGATTAGAATGATTTGACAGTGATTAACAAAGCATAACAGTTGATTAGAATGATTTGAAATTTATCAACACAGCAGAACAGATGATTAGAATGATTTGACAGTAATCAACACAGCATAACAGTTTATTAGAATGATTTGACAGTGATCAACAAAGCATAACAGTTAATTAGAATGATTTGACAGTGATCAACACAGCATAACAGTTGATTAAAATGATTTGACAGTGATCAACACAGCATAAGAGATGATTGCAATGATTTGACAGGGATTGAAATAGGATAAGAGATGATCACAATAAATAATAGCATCGAAAATAACTTATCCAAAGTCCTGAAACATCGATCGATGTTTTGTTGCTATCAAGGGAATTTCTGTTTATAAAAAGCAATTTTATTTTTTAAGTAAGAGCTTTCACCCACTTCATTGTTAGAACAAAGCAGAAAAAATGCATTCTACGATTCATATCTATATGATTTGGAAGTTAAATATAAGTAAACCGATAATTATGTAAGATATTACGAAGGCCAATCATTCTTCAAGTTTATCGGCTTTTTTCTCAAATATTGTAAAAAATATATCGACACTTATACCTTGGATGCTTGCAAAGCGTATTTCGTTGATAACCACTTGCTTAAGGGACGAAATATAACAAGAAACCTATGTTGATCTTATTTTCTTACCGTTTGAAAGTTGCCGTCATCGACGAACACGTGAAACACGAAAACGAAAGTTGAAGTGTGTGAACGCTGACCGCTAATGATGTACTTCTTCGGTAATAAACCGTAGAACCAAAAAAATAGTTTTCTTTAATATGAAACCTTGAAATAGGTAAAAAATTTGTCAAATACCTATTTTGAGTATTTGCTACGGTAACAAAAACCCATTTTGAGTATTTGCTACGGTAACAAATACCCACTTGGGAGTAGCAAAGACCCAGATGAGTATTGGCTACCGTAGCAAAAACCCATTGAACGTATCAAATACCCACATGGGTATTTCCTACCGTAGCAAAAACCCACATGGGTATTTCCTACCGTAGCAAAAACCCTCAATGGGTATTTTGTACCGTAGAAAATACCCACAAGAATCTAACCACGTAGCAAATACCCAGATCACTCTAGCTCTCCACATGCGTGCTGATCCTCCACTAATGCATGATGACGTTCCTGAGTGGCCAATTATTCTGTGAGTTCGCTCAATGTAGTGAGTAGACAAGCTGAGATAAACATTTCACTAAGTTCTGTTACTTCACAGACAGGGACCGACACCAATTTTTTAATCAGTCCGTTTCCTTGTTATTCTTCAATTTTTGAAAGGAAATAAAAAGTAAAACACAAAAGGGATGACTACCACTGCGCCGGGGAGAAGATCACCAAGATCCCTATCTAAGCCTCCATGAACTTCAGCTCTTACCCGCAAAGAAAAGGAGATTACGCGACGGTGGCCATAATTACATTCCTACTTACGTTGGACATGGCCGATTTAGGAAAGCTTTCATGAAAGGGCTTTTCGTAGTATTCATTTACACATTTTTATACCTTGTACGTTTGTTGCAGGCTGTGCTCTTGTATCATTTATTGTGAATAAAGATTCAACCACCTTAATGGAACAACACGAAATAAAAAAGACCGCAAGTTGTGTGGTTCTTCTCTGTAGCTAGAGGCAAATCATGACTATGCATCATTTTAGAGTGGGCTCAATAGAGATATGCAAATTTTCCTCCTAAAACTAATCCAGCTGAAAAAGTTTTTGAATAACTTCGATTTCTCCCGCTGTTGGATGACTGTCAGAATCACGCTGGGAAATATACGTCTAAGTTTTTTCAATAAATATTATTACCGCCAAGCAAGACTTTGGCGGCTTGGTTATAATTACCGGTGTACGATAACAAAATTTGAGACGCAAAAAAAAGTTAAATAAAATTATACCACTTTTCTTTGGAAGGATTCTAACACATTTGACTATCAGTGGAGAGTCTCACTCGACGGGTACATCGTTTATAACATTAAAATCCTGCTTTGGCGCGTTACTCATCATCAAACATTTCATTGAGAATCTTAAGCGGCATGACCTGTCTCAGTGTCTGAATTCTATGATGATAAAATGCATTCATAAAACGCACAAAAGAAACACAGTCTACAGATGTACGTAAGGTTTGCCACACAAACCTACCTCCAGATTGTTGAGATTCAATCGCAGAAATTCCGGCAAGAATAAAGACGGTGAGAAAACCACTCCGGCGACGAAATGCGAGAACCATTTTCCAGCGGTAAAATATGCCTTCTACTCGAGTAGATCAGAAAACGTGCTGGCTACCTTCGCCTTGACGTCAAGCCCTGCAAGGGAATTGAACATTAAATAAGGATGTTAGGAAAGTCAAAACATCTTATATCGGTCAAGCACTAACACAGTGTTTTTGCTGGAGAGATCGAAGGTGCTAGGACTTAACCACAAGACTACGTGCGGAAAAACGAATTAAAAAATTATTCACTCTTCTGCTCCGTCGAGTATCCGGACGATTGTTTGACCGTCGAGGCAAAGTTTGACTTTGTAATGAGCACAAATGTTCAGAAAATGAGATAAAAAGAACACTATATTCTAAATAATTTCTTTCTCCTTACCTTGCGTAAATAGGAAGTTGTAGAAGTGAACTTGTTGGTCTTAGTTAGCGCATAGTTACCTCTAGAGAAATGTCAACTTTTTTTTCCCTTGATAGCTATTGAAAGAAATAAGTTTCGACCACGCACCTCCCAATGGATGTATCTCAGCTATGATTGGTGCATCAAATACAGTTGACCTTTGTAACGCAATCAAAACGATCAACATATAATATATCTAGATCTAGATGTTGTGACTAAAAACCTGCAGTCAAGGTCTCACCCACAGGCGGCCCAAGCTCCAGCTGTGAGATGATCATCTTGTGCAATAACAGTCATGGCGGAATTATAAGAGTTTGTATGAGAATATTTACGACCGCCTTATGGAATAAAATAATACGTCAAATTCTCAAAAAAAAAATAACCCACCTTACTTCTACAGCGTAACGCTTGTTATTTGACCGCTTAGAAAAGAACGCATTTTAGCGAGTTGTCCATTTCGAGGTTTTCAACGTTCATAAATCGTTGAACAATGAACAACTCGCTAAAATGGGCTCTTTTTTAACAAAGGCTTGAAAACTACTAAGTGTAAAAGGAGCCAGGAGAATAAATGCAAAGTTGCATACTGTGAAAGTTAAATTTGGAGAACGACCTTCAAAAGAAGGCTGATACGAAGGAGGAACACTGAAGAAAAACCCGGTCCAGCTCCACTCCCCCGACCCATGTTTCCACTCCTTCCTCTCCTCCCTTAATGTTTCCTTCTATTAACCCTTTTGTCGCTCAAGCCCTTTGGCCTTGTTCTATTTCCCTTTGCTCTCTTTTTTTCTTGTTTCAAACCCACCAGGTACTTTATTTCAACCAAAATCAATCAAAGACAACATTTTAACTATGGATGAAATTGAAACGCACGAGGAAATAAGTCAAAGAAAAAACACTTAAGGTGTGAGAACCGTTTCCTACTCAAACCGCCTTGAAGCCGTCTATCTTTGCGTGATGAAACCGACCATACTGCAGAAAAGAGCGGTCCCTTCGGTAAGGAAACTGGTTCTAGTAATTGCTAAAACGTTGATCATTTCCCTTCGACGGTTGAAGAAAAAAAACTGATCGAAACTGAACTGAAGAATTGAATTTGAACAAAGCCTGACAAATCCTTTCGTGTTTCTTTGAGGATATGCGGTTTTATTCATTTATTCTGCTAAACTGAAATTCTGCATTCTGTTCATGGTTAATTTACTACGTTTGTTACATCCATTTTGAAATCAGTTGTGATCCTTGGAATATGATTGGCTCTCATCGTGCGATTTATCCACGAATCGCACCACTTCTAAATCGCATCTTTTTCCATTCCAATGAGACAACTTTATTAAAACACATCAACCATTCAAGGCTTATTTAAAGAAATCCATCAAATTGCAAGGAAAATGAAAGACAGCTTCTACAACTTTTTCTAAACCAGCTCATCACTGAATCAATAAAATACTTGAAGAGACTGAAATAATCTATATTTGAGCGACTGTATTTTGCGATTTCCAAATAGATGTAACAAAGTGATAACTGCTCTTCGTGTCAGGAAATTTAAATGTCTTGCCGTTGTTTTTGTCCCCTCGGTCTTTTTTCTCTTTTAACTTTACTTTTGAATTCCTTTTTTATGTGGCTTTTTATCTACAATCAGTTGGTGTCAAAATCATTCCCAAGTCCTTTTAGGTCTGGCACTATTACGTACTCATTTGACTGGACTACGTACTTCGCTTGAAGTGAACCGATGTTGTGTCGACTTCTCATCGTTGCGGACGAGCTCGCTCGGCCTTTCTTCACCTGCCAATAACAGAGACCGGAAGCTATGATCAACATAACGACCACGCCCACTGAAACTGCGATCACAGCCGCCGGGTACCTTATTCTATCAGTCCAACCCATTGATGTCTTCGCAACTGCTTCGCTTTCAGAACTGATGGATGTCAGGCTAACAGTAAAACCTAAACAGAAATTAACCAAACATATTTATCTCTCCATCTTGAATGAATTCCCTCCTTTCCCCCAGCACTACTTCAAAAAACATTTAAACCTTTTTCTTAAAATACAGATCTAAAATAGGGCACAGAAACGACCTGCTAATGTCGAAAGGATCTTCACAACTCGACCACAATTAAACTCATGGCATAAAAAGAAGTCTAAATACTTCAAGCTTCGACTAAGCCCCTCAATAGGCCTGTCCTGATCATGCTCGTAAAAACACTGGAAAGTTGCTCACTGAAATGCTAAAAGGTTGCTTAAAAATTGCCAAAATTCCAAAACGTTGCTACCTAAAATTTGTTGATATCTATATATAAATGTTAATTTAAAGCCTTATTTTTCGCCTTCACAATAATTGCTCGCAAATATGGGCGAAATTTAAGAATACTCTTTAGTTAAACGGAACAGAACACATGGTTCATTTGACGTCTTACCGAAAGTCATTTTAACGATCGCAATAGGCCTGCGAAATGCTGTCACGGTGACAAGTTATGTGTTCAAAAGGTTAACAAACAATTCATGAAATTCGTATAAATTGAAGTTTTCTATGAAATAGTTGACTTTTTCGTCCTTTATATGTGCTCTAAACTTATATTTTGCTCAAAAATTGCCGAGAAAGGCAAGAATTCCTCGAGGTTGCTAGAACCGCAATAAGTTACTCCAAACAGCAAGTAACGAATGAATATTCAATTATTAGTAATTGAAGTCGTCGTAACAAAGAAGGATACAAAATCTGGTTTCGACTGGGATTGAGCTCGTCTTTGCCAAATGCGACAAAGGAACTTTACCTTCAAAAAATTCCTCAAAAATTATTTGAGGTAGGTTTTGTGTATTTTTACAGGAAATAAAACGTTTCGATAATTCTGTTTGATACCAAAGTCATTCCCTCAGGCCAGAATTAAGCTCCTGTTTAGTTAGAAAAAATACGAACAAGAAGGCTTCTTGATACATGTTTTATCGCATTTAAGTGTTTCATTTGCTCGGCAAGATGGAGAGAATCATGAAAGCAAGATATTCACAAATACAAAGGTGCATCCAACGAAAATATGGTCATCCTTATTTGCAGCAACCATCAGTCAAGATTTTCATGAGCTTTTCTTATATTTAGTGCGCACGTGGTGTACCACGTGGCGTGTGCATGCTTAACAATTGGCACACCTGGCGACCATTCATAATTTATAGCCTGGAGCTAGGGGCAGAGGATTTTGAGGGCGGATCACATAGTCTTCTGGGGGAACAGAGGGGGGGAATACAAAAAACTGACTGCTAATTAACTGCCAGTGAGAGGGAATCAGGTGAATTTTATTGTGACGCAGACAAAATCCTCCAGGCCTCCCCTTTCCAGGAAGCCCCCCTCCCCAGGGTGCCCCCCCCCTCCCCAGGATGACCAGTAATTACCGGTCTTTTAGTAACGATACGTACCCGAAATGTGAACGATGGTGCTTCTTTTTTCAATGAGATAGAGAAATTACAAATGTTATTTTAAAAAAATGAATCCTATCCGTTTTTCACGGTTACACTTACCATCTGTGGTGCTTTCAGTTTTCTGAAGTTCGGTTAGTTTTGCTTTATCTTCACGAACTAAAAAAGTGAAAAAAAATGAGTTATGCTCAGTTGGAAACAATTTTCAGCAAATTATCAGCTATAATAAAGCAGTCGCTTTTTTTAATTGGCCCGTGTTTGATTTATTAACATCCAAGTGGAACTGAACAGAGTCACGACACAAACACTGTAACTGAGTGTTCTAAACCCAAATCAAAGTGATTGAAACGGCCACAGGCCGCTCGGTAGCGCAAGCTTTTTCGACTAAATACAGCACGTAGTCGTGCAAAAATCGACCCTCCGTGATTCCCGAGACGAAGGAGACTCTCAAGAAAAGAAAGCTGTTTACGAGCGGTTCATGGACAATAAAATACACCTAACGGATTAACCCTTCACCCCCTGACATCAGTATCCACATTCTCCACACTATTCACTATACATTTCCTATGGTGCTGACAAAGAGAATTTGTTTGATAATCAAGAGCTGCTTTACTTGGTGATCATTTCCTCTATTCTCGTCACCTTAATGTTTGATTCAAGGGTGATATTATAAGGAGAAATTAGATGCTAGTCACTCTTAGGGGTTAAAAGGTTAACAAATAAATTCCATGTTGCCGTGCGTCTGTTCAGTAACATATCACAGATGACATCAAAATGTGGTAAGAAAAACAGCTGCTATGAGCACATCACAGAAAGCCCCTAAAATCTGATCATAATAAAGTGAATGATAACAAAAATTAATAAGAACCAGTAATCTTATTATAGTTTTACCTACCAATGTTTTGGACAATGATGTAAGCATGTTCGGATGCGTAACCAACAGCATTTCCCACAATGCAAGTGTATTTGCCTTCGTCCCTCTTTGTGACATTTAACAAAGTCAACTTCACTACGTGGAAATCAATCTTTACACCACTTGATGGCATAATTACATGTTGGTCTGCATCTTCTTTATTCACGATTTCGTAGTGAGGAATTTCAATTGAACCGTTTGTCGAACTGTTGAAACTTGTAGGAAACCACCTTAGCCACTGGAAATGAGGCATGGAATCACTTAATGCTTTGCATGTAAAGCTGGCATTCTCTCCTCGATAAACTGTGACATTTTCCATGGGTAGAACGACTGGTTCAGCACGAGCTCGTTCTAAAAAATTGAAAAGAGAATACTGTCAATACTGTCAATGTAACCCAAAAACATCCATTGTTTCGTTACTTGTAATGTTTATTTTAATTTGACTTTTTAAATGGGATTTATATTGACCACAAGAGTTTGAAGATTCTTTTTCTCAGATAAAGAAAACCGTGAGTACTCTTCAGAGTCTGTGTCAGCTAGAAAAATTTGAAGGATTTTTCCTCTTACCATGAACGTATACTTTGTATGTATGATTAATCCATCCGTATGAGTTGCTCACATTACACATGTATGACCCAGTGTCAGAGGGAACCAAGTCCTTCAGACTCAACAAGGTTGTCCATCGACTCGAATGAAGTTTCCTTTCCTTAAACAATTTTCCGTCTTTGTACCATTTCACGGTAGGACGAGGGTTTCCGTCGGCAGAACAGTCCAGCAGAACAGAGTTTCCAACGGGTACTGCAAGAAGGTTGCGCCTCATCTTGCTTTGCGGTACTGTAAATCTTGGAGCAGCTGTGAAGCACAGAACAGCCACAGCATTTGAGCGTTGAACTTCTCGACAACTGCCCGGAAGCCACCGCTTACTAACACATTTCAGGTTACAGTCTAAACATTATTTTATTCTAAGTGTTTTACAGTACTGATCTTATGGTGATGGTTCAGAGTTTTATCACATGCGGAGCAAAATTGCTGAATACAGATTGGCTGAGACAGAGAGTATTTTTTTCTTAATCACGTGGGCACTATTGGTAATCAAAAGGGCATGATTGCTTGATGCTGATTGAGCCATATTGCTGTTTGCGGCAAGGATTTATTGATTGCAATGTAACTGAATAAAGTCATGCATGTAACATTGATAACTGTATTCTGTGAATAAAATGTTGATTGAATCTCTTTAAGAGTTACGTTTTTTTTTTTACATTTGTGGCGGCATTGAAAGGGCTTCATCGCGTGGACATCGTGCGCAAATGCAATTTCCTCAAATATTTTGCCATTTATGTAATAAAAAAGTAATTGCGCACTCTGCATATAGTAGTTGTAAAACTCTCCGACGTGTTTCGTCTAACTGTCGTGGACTTCTTCAGGAATTTTAACAAGTTAGCACTAAACTAAAACCGTGGCCCCTACATATTTTTCTAACCTTGCTTTAAAAGTGTTCAAATTTTTCATAACTTCGCCTGTTCCTGTTCGTAAGTCCAGCCAAGCCTATAAGGTCATTGGCCCCAGTAAAAGCCGCTGACTATGGTTTATAAATACCGGCGTTTCGTGTTAACTTGTAAAACTCCCTCAAGTCTACGACAGTTCGACGAAACGCGTCGGAGAATTAAAAAGTTTTAAAACTACTGTTTGCAAAGTACTGCTGAGTAGTTTAGATTTTTAAAAAAATGTTTTTAAAAATAATTCTGCACATAGACATTAAAGCAGTAATATAATTTACAATAATTGCTCCGATTCCTGTGGTACCTCACTCCTTAAAAGAAAAAAAAAAGAAAGAAGAAAAAGAAAGCAATTGTTAACCATGCCACGACATAACGAACATTTTGGTTGTTTTTCCGCAAATTTGTTGAATCGAGGTTTTCGATACGACGAACCCTCGATGTAACGAACCAATTTCCCCGGTCCCTTGGCATTTCGTTAAATCGAGGTTTCACTGTAACACGTCACTCTGACGCATAACCCGTTAGCCCTTTAACTCCCACAAGTGACCAACATGTAATTTCTCCTAGTATAATATCCATACATTATCCAGCAAACAGGCAATGAGAATAATCAAACTTATCACTTAGAAGTTGCTAACACCAAATTTTCGTTCCTCCGGCATTTATAAGGAAATGCGTGTAGCAGTTAAAGGGGAGAATTAACAATCAGATCTTGGCCGTCTCAGCTCCCGAGTCAATGTTAACGCACAAAGCGTAGAAAAATTGTGAAATTCATGGGATAACATATGCGATTGCCAAGAGATTATAATCCAAGAGATTATAATCCCTTGATAATTTTTTTTCATCATTGATTTTGCTCTCAGAGGGTGTTAATGGAGTTATCCGACAGCCTTACAACAGCCAAAAATTTAGCCGTTAGCCGTAGATTGGCCACAATTAGCCGTAACGTTACGTTAGCCGTAAAAGCCATCACCCCATTGAGACTGTCTTCCAGAGGAAGTTGCTTTTCTCTATTTCAAAGAACATTAACATCGGCTCCTGTATCAACTAAACTGCTTCTGTATTCATCTTTCACTAATTTCTTCCGATTAGAAATGAAAGTACATCTGTCTTAACTCCTACTGTAATTTTGTTGGGATCCAGTGTTGGACCTGTAACGAGAGCACACTCGGAGATCACGTGCACCTCAGGTGACACATGATACAGCGGTCGATGTTATCTAATCGCAAAAGGTTTTAGATCACATATATCTACATGAGAGCGCACTTAGTTTACAAATAAAGACTGTTCGTTACCTAGAAATCGTGTGTTTATGGTAGAACGAAACATGGTACCAGGAGTGTAGCCTCTTCGACACGATGACAACTACACCACCTCAAGGTTCAGCGAGTGTTCAAGCGCCGACGCCATGTTATGGAATACAAAGCAATTTACCAATTCCGTCGCGATTGAATTTGGCAGGAAATATTTCAGAAAACTGGAAGAAGTGGAAGCAAGTGTGGGATTCGTTCGAAATCGCCTCACGTCTTAACCAGCAAGAAGATAAATACCGTGTAGCTACTTTCATTACCTGCATTGGAACCGAAGCCCTCGAAGTCTACAATGGTCTTCCGTTCGAAAAAGAAGAAGACAAGGACGTAATGAATACAGTTCTGGAGTTGATGGAGAGGCATTGCATTGGCCAAACAAATGTCATTTACGAGCGATACTGCTTCAATAATAGAAAACAAGAAAGCGGCGAATCATTTGACACGTATCTCACAGCGCTCAAAACTCTCGCGAAAACGTGCATTTTTGGTCCACTCACCGACGAATTAATTCGTGATAGGATCGTCTGTGGAATTTGTGACACGGGAACTAGGAAGAAATTACTACAAGAGCCCAAATTAAATCTTCAGAAGTGTATCGATGTATGTCGATCAGCCGAAACAACTGCATCGCAAATGAAAGTCATGAGTGGAAGAGAAGAAGTCAACGCACTCAACCACAAAGAGAAAAAAGACGGCAGAGACGCCAGTTCTAAGTTAGTTAATTGCAAATACTGCGGCAGAAAACACGAGAGATCAAGAGATAAATGCCCAGCGTTCGGAAAAGAATGTGCGAAATGCGGCAAAACAAATCACTTCGCCAAGCTATGTAAACAGAAACTTGGTGGGCGACAACGAAGAAAAGAACGGATTCACCGAGTGCGAGACGCAAAAACTTCGCAGGATTCGAGCGATGAAGAGTACTGCTTCACGATTTCATCCGAAAATCTGGAAGAACAAAGTGTCAAAAGTGTCAGTAGTCAACCCATCAAATCGAAAATCTTCGCAACAATGGAGATCAAAGGTCATCCCGTTCGTTTTCAAGTCGACAGTGGCGCCACCTGTAATGTGATAAGCAAAAACGATTTACCGAACGAGTGCCCGATCGCGCATTCGAAACAAGTCCTCAGCATGTTTAACGGATCGAAAATGGAAACCATTGGTAAATGTCGTGTTAATCTGGTAAATCCCAAGGTTGATGAAGAATGCGAAACAGAGTTTGTTGTTGTCAATAACGACTGCACGCCACTGTTGGGTTCCAAAACGGTGCAGAAAATGAAATTAATCAAAGTGCGTTACGAGAATATCTCATTGGTACAAGAAAAGACAGAAGCAATGGGCCTAACGATGCAACAAATAGCAGCAGATTTCCATGACGTTTTCACTGGAGAAGGAAAATTTGAGAAAAAAACGTCACTTAGAGTTGGACACAACCATTGAACCAGTGAAACAGCCTGTTAGAAGGATTCCAGTGGCAATGAAACCCAAGTTAAAGCAAGAGCTCACTCGTCTCAAAGAACTTGGTGTTATCAAAGCAGTTGACACTCCAACAGATTGGGTCTCAAGCTTGGTACTTGTTAAGAAGCCCAACGGCAAGCTTCGCGTGTGTATCGACCCTCAGCCACTAAATAAAGCTTTGAAACGCAGCCACTACCCTCTTCCGGTTATCGACGATCTCCTGCCGGACTTGTCAAAAGCTAAAGTCTTCAGTGTGTGTGACGTTAAAAACGGGTTTTGGCATGTCGAGTTAGATGAAGATTCAAGCTATCTAACAACGTTTGGCACTCCATTTGGTCGGTACCGGTGGCTGAAGATGCCATTTGGCATATCACCCGCACCGGAATATTTCCAACATCGTTTGGATCAAGCCATCGAAGGCCTTCCCAGTGTGCGCACAGTTGCAGACGACATCCTCATCTCGGGTGAAGGTGACACTGTGCAAGAAGCAGTGAAAGATCACGACAAAAAACTGCTAACTCTACTTGAAAGGTGCCGCGAAAAGGGAGTGAAACTGAACAAGGAGAAGTTCAAGTTGAAGATGACAGAAATCCCCTACGTTGGTCATGTGTTAACAAGAGATGGACTAAAACCAGACCCATCCAAAATAGACGCCATCAAAGGCATGAGGCGACCAACAGATGTGAAAGGTGTACAGCGGCTTGTTGGTCTAGCGAATTACCTGACGAGATTCTTAAAAAAGCTGGCAGACATTTGCGAACCTCTGCGACAGCTAACGCGCAAGGATGCAGAATGGCACTGGAGCGACGTCCATGAGAGCGCCTTTAAGAAGATCAAAGAAGCAGCTTCCCAAGCACCTGTCCTCCGATACTTTGATCCCGCCAAAGAGACTGTACTTCAATGCGACGCCTCGGACACTGGACTTGGAGCTACGCTTTTACAAAATGGTCAGCCAGTGGCATACGCATCGCGATCCCTGACGGATACAGAACGCAACTATGCGCAAATAGAAAAAGAACTGCTAGCCATAGTGTTTGGAGCCGAGAAGTTCAACCAATACACTTATGGTCGCAAAGTGATTGTTGAGAGCGACCATAAACCACTTGAAGTTATTTACCGCAAACCTCTCGTGGCCGCCCCCAAGCGTCTACAACGAATGCTACTTCGCCTGCAGAAGTATAACCTCGAAATTGGTTTCAAGCCAGGCCAGCACATGTATCTGGCAGACACACTCTCTAGAGCACCCCTTCCCAACACCACATCGCGCGATGAAGTGCTAACCATCGACAAAGAAGTTGAAGAAATACATATGGTCGAGTTTCTGCCACTCCGCAAAGCTAGCCTAGACGATATCCGTAAAGAAAGTCTGCGAGACAGCACGATGCAAGCACTTCAGAAAGTCATTCGAGAAGGGTGGCCTGAGATCAAGATTGATCTCCCAAATGACGTCACGCCATACTTCAACGTTCGTGACGAGCTATCAGCGCAAGATGGAATTATCTTCAAAGGAGACAGATGTGTAGTTCCAAAATCCCTCAGACCAGAAGTCCTATCCAGAATCCACCGATCACATATTGGCGTGGAAGGATGCTTGAGACGCGCGAGAGAAAGCGTTTTCTGGCCAGGAATGAACACAGCTGTGAAGAACTTTGTCAGACAGTGTGAAACTTGTCGAACCTTTGAGATCTCCCAGCAGAAGGAAACACTCCACCCACATGAGGTACCTGACCGGCCATGGTCCAAGGTTGGTGTTGATCTGTTTGAGACAAACAACCGACATTACCTCGTGACCGTAGATTACCACAGCAACTACTGGGAAGTCGATAGGTTGGAGTCCAGTACAACATCTAAAGCTGTTATTTACAAATTGAAGCAACACTTTGCAAGGCATGGCATCCCGAACACTGTGTTTTCCGACAATGGCCCACAGTTTGATTCGGACGAATTCAGGAGATTTGCTCGAGATTGGGAATTCAATCATTTAACCTCAAGTCCCGGACATTCGCAGTCCAATGGTATGGCGGAAAGCGCAGTCAAGACTGTGAAAAGGCTTATTAAGAAGGCTAACAAAGATGGAACAGATCCTTGGCTCGCGATCCTCGACCACCGAAACACACCCTCAGAAGGCATGAAAAGCAGTCCAGCACAACGACTAATGAGTCGTCGAACAAGGACCCTACTCCCAACAAGCGAGAAGCTCCTTAAACCCAAACTCGCCGAAAATGTCCAAGAAGGAAAATGGAAGACAAGAACCAAGCAGGCATTTTACTACAATAGAAACGCTCGAGATTTGCCACCACTGAAAACTGGAGACTCAGTGCGCATTCAGCCCACAAGCAACCCCAAGGCGCCCTGGAAGAAAGCCACTGTTCAGGAACAGGTGAACATGCGATCCTACAAAGTCCTCACAGAAGATGGCTCTGCCCTTAGACGAAATAGAAGGCATCTGAAAGCAACTACAAAAGAGTCTCACACGCCAACAACCCAGATGCCCAAGCAGACAGAACTTCCCTCGCCATCTAAACACATTGAACAAGAAACTAACGCCAGTGGTCACTCCAGCTCAGAAGTAGCGAAGCCACAGGAGCCAGCGATCGAGCAGCCTGCGACTGATCTAGCATCGCAAGCTTCCAAAGGCAACCAGACTCGCAGTGGTCGAATAACGAAGCCCCCGTCCTATCTGAAAGACTTTGTTCGTTAACCTGAGTCAGTGTCATGAGAGACAAAGACATTACCGGACTTGACTAGTTGATTCTTTTGGATAGTGGTTTTGATTTTTTTGTTTCTCATGTTTGTTTTGATTGTTCCGTTGTTTTCGTTTTGTTTCTTATGAAAGAAAGGATGTAACGAGAGCACACTCGGAGATCACGTGCACCTCAGGTGACACATGATACAGCGGTCGATGTTATCTAATCGCAAAAGGTTTTAGATCACATATATCTACATGAGAGCGCACTTAGTTTACAAATAAAGACTGTTCGTTACCTAGAAATCGTGTGTTTATGGTAGAACGAAACAGGACCTCAAAGAGAAAAAACACAAGAAATTATGTAGATGTAAAATGCTTTTGTTGTGCAAATTATCTGAGGCCACACACATCTGAATCTCCGCCCTATTCACTTCCTGACGGGATTTTGAACTCCCAGCTGTCTCAGTTCAATACCTTAAGCAATGATAAAAGAAACATTGCACCTTCGTCGGAAATAACTTTTTGTGATGGCAAGTCTGAAATTACCATCTTTTCCCTCCTTATTTGCCTACCTCAGCAACTCCTACTTAAACTGACATCACCTCAGTTTGTCACACACAACTAGTATAAAAGAACTTTGCTCCCCAAGATACCGCTATAAATTACGTGCGTACTTGTACTTTTAAAAAAACTTAGATGGTTGCAAATGTTTACTTACTTCCGACAAATAGGTGCATCGTAAAAGGGTTCTTGCCACAGTCATTTACTGCGACACAGGTGTAGAGGCCGGTGTCCTCTTTCTTAGCTCTTTTTATCTCTAGGTATCTGTAGAGTTTTAACCTCAGACGTTGATGACTCGATGGACTGAGCGTCTGATTGTCTTTGAGCCAGTAATACCTTGGTTTTGAGGTCTGATTAGCGGTTCTGATCTGGCAAGTGAGTTTAACATCCTCTCCGCCGGTCACCTTGATGACTTTTACCTCGTTTCCTTCCTTTTCACGAATGTAAGGAACTGAAAAAGAAGCAAAACTTTTCTGAATTCCACCCGAAACACCAAAGATGCCCTCCTGATCCATAACTAAGATCCATATTACTCGAACACCCGCAATTGCAATATTAATGCTTGGAAGAGGTAACGGTAGTCCTTTAAAAATTACATATTAAATTCAGTGTTCTTACTAACGACTCCCTCATCAGGCGAGCAAACGCGGAAACAAATACTGGGAACCGATGTATAAAGCTTTTCCCTTGTAGAATCCCCTAAAATAACCCTGACGCAGAAAATGCAGTAACCCTTATATAACTGTGACCCATCTATCAGCTGACTCCGTCACTTTCCACCGCCAATACTATCATAATTATATACTGACTGACAGGTCACATTTCAGAACATACGTTATGAAGTTCACATATGCATTATCAATTCAGTTGATAACACTAAATTACACTGAAAATCATAGTCCGATTTAAATGAATGAAAATTTGTCGACGGTCTAATTAGGAGTTTTGGATTTTTCCTTTCACCACCCCTGCCTTTTCAGAAAATTTGTTTTCTTTAAAGCTTAGGATGCGAACCTAGAACTTAATAATCAAAATATATGTTAATAAATACAGGAAGAATCTTGCAGTTTCATTTTCGCCTGCGACATTGGGGTAATTGTTCAGTCGAGTCAAAATTTTTTTACAAACATAAACGTGAATTTATTCGACGTAGCGTAACTGGCAAATCCCATCTTACACACCCTATACATCTAAGCCTTATATTAAAATTGCAGAGAAAGAGACAATATCGGAAGCTTTTTTTGGCGACACAAAGCACAAATTGATAATGATATACATTTACATCATCGAGTTCCTTAAATAGATCTAGTTTTTTTCCTTTCGAGTTTGTTTTGCAATCCTTAAGACTTCCAGACTCCTCGGTTGACTAAATAGTTCCTATCACAAGGACGTTATCATTTATGGAAATAATAGTTGTTAGCTGTTGATTACATACTTTTCTTTTGGAAGATCGTAAATCCCCGTCTTCATAACCTCCTCTTGACTAAAAGGCACAAATTTTGGCGAAAATGGAGTGAGTCTTTTGAATGAAACCAATTTAAATGCAGAATGCAGTCAATTTCCGCTTGAATGGGAAGAGTTAAAATTACTAAACATGCCGCGTATCCGGATTTTTATTTTGAACCTGGAATTCCTACGAATGCGAAGAAGAAGAAACGTGGACCATTATCTACTCTTTTTCGATATCAAGGGTATGATATGATATGATGGCCTTGCTGCCAGGCAAGTAAGGCGAATTCTTTTTTAACAAGCTACCTGAATGGCCATGATAGACTTATTCTAGTTTAAGATCATTAATTAATGTGCAGCAATCCACATTCAATCTAAATATCTTGATATTGTTTCATCTGGGTACGTACTCACGGTCATGTTCAATTCAATGACTAAACTATAGTTGCTTTAATATATGGATTTAGAGATCACGAGAGATTTTATAAAGTTTCTCCCGAATAAGGCTGAGGATACACTCAGAACAACAATACCCTTATTCTTGACAGCGGATAAGAATGAACGTGGATTCACACCAACCTGAACACGCATCCGCGTGCCAATTATCCAGAAAGCTTAGGACAGCAACAAGAATCGCTTTGAACAGGAGTGCACTTAGTATCATGACGATGAAAATACTCCTACTTTGGGTGATCTCTCGAACAGCTTCCTTGAACAGCTTTAATTGTAATTTCGTCTTGAGCCCGTTAAGGAAAAGGAGATGATTGACTGTCAAATATTTTAGAAATCCAACACCCTGACAAAGTAGAATTTGGAGCAACGCTACAAAGATAGCAATTTATATTTGCCTACCTGTTTTTCATGGAGAAACAAATAACCTTGCACCGGATGCTACAGAAGCCAGCGGATTCTGACTCTGGCTGGATTCCAAGCCCTTAAGGTCAAAGATAATGTCAGTATTTGAAAATCATCGCTAGATCACGCACAGAGTCATACCACAACCAAAACATCGAGGTTACATTAGGTCAAAACTTGGCAGACAGTCAGTAGTGAACAAGGTCCCAACGATTCTTACTTATAATAATCCCGATATATTACTATAAAAACAAATCAGCTTTTACTATTGGCACGCAAATACAACTTGTTTTTAGCACATACAGTATTTCGGCTCTCGTCGTTTAATCTGTAAACTGATGTAAGTCATGTAGTAGTTTCTGTAAGCCGCAGATGTCATATTTTACGGTTAAAAATAAATATATATTCAATCAATCTGAAAAACAGTCGAGCATAATTTGGTAGCCGTCGTCTGGTAACATTCAACACCTAATTGAATAATAATAATAATAATAAAAAAAAAAAAACAAGGGAACAAGCGGATAGCAGAGTCTGTTAAGTTTGACACGCTACTGAATGCGTTCGCGGGAACAGCAGCGTGTCAAACCGAAACCAAAACTTCAGGGAGAACAGTTCAACTTCACCATTTTTTATAATCTATCTTAATTGGCTGAAGTGGTTCAAACAGTCAAACTTACTTAAAAGGCACAACTGAACAAAATGCATAACTAGCTTAATTGTTTCAACGAAACAAAATGCATAACTTAGCAAAACAAGTTTCCGATGCCGAGAACACCAGAACGCCAACATAAAACGCAGGAAACTGATATTAACAAGTTATAAGTACTATAAGAGTCGCTTCCGTTTGATAATGAGGAGGGTTCGCCAGAGTCACAGAAAGAATGACAGGTTTATTTTCTCACACAAAGAAAAGCTTCCCGAATGATAGACAACCGGCATACAAGGCGGAAGTCTTAAAAAAAACCTAGAAGCATATCTGCACGTACTCAGGCTCTTGTAATAATAAAATCTAGGTTTTTATTCACACCTATATTGTACAAGTTTTACGTGTAAGTAAAAGGCATGCGAAAATCATTTAAAAGGTATTAGGAAATGTTATCGCTTATGCACAATGTTTTCATATGGTTTTCAATGATTCCTTGAAGCTTAAATGTAAAAACTCTTGTAAGCAAGCATGCACACCAAAGCCTTGACAGTGATTTGTGATTGGAACGACCTAATTAAAACTCAGGCCTCTAAAGGCGCACCCAATGAATCATCTAAATATCAAAAGGATCAGTATT